GAATAGCTAAGGAGAGGAGTGGATTCATGCCTTTCCTCAGGTCATTAGTACGAAGTAAACAGCAAATATCCTACTTTGTTTGCGGTTACCATTTAACCATGAAGTTACCCAAACCACTATTTCAAAGTTACCAAACCACTATTACCCAAAATACTATTTCTTTCTTTCTTTTATTTCTAGAAATTCGTTTTGGCTGTAAAGAAAATTCTTTTCTTTTCTGTCACTCTCTTTTTTCTTATCACAGTTTTAGTGCAGCTTTTCTCAATTATCGAAAAATGTCATCTACAGTCTATAAGGAACGCACCAACATAAGGAAAGTCTAAGACCTGTAACCATCAATACCATTCGGCTATCTTCATTTCATTTCATTCGTCAGTCTTGTACGGAAGGGAATATCGTCTGGGGTTAAAAATTAGGTTAAGATTGTTGGCGTCTTTTAAGAGTGGGGCTCTTGATGTCTGACATTGTTTTTCAAACGAATCATTCGTCTCAAACGGAGCTTTGTGCACGACGGCATGTAATCTGTTCAAACGAGCCGAGATTATTTGATTTTTTTCTTCCGTCCTCTGAGTTTATTTCCTCCTCATAGCCCCACTGCCTTCCATACTACTTGGGCGCTGTCTACGAATATATTCCCTTTGTGGTGTTCATTACAAATGTCATGAGAGCGCCTTAAAGTAGACATTGGCAGTCGAATATTATTCTTTGTTTCGAAGGAAATATTCGAACTATTTACATTACTTACATTGTTCAGACTGTTGTTCTCATCATAGATGCCAAATTCACGACGTTGTACGCTCCGGCCTTCTTCAGGTGAATTTCGAACCACACGAGTAGATTGTTCTAGTTCCACGTGACATGCCTCTTCCGGCTTTTTTTTTTTTTTCACTTCTGTTTTTGGCCAGGTACTGAACTCACAACTCGTTTGGGTCAAATCACGGGGTTACTTCAGCCAACGCTTTTATCCACTGGGCCATGTGTCCTGAAACTGAGATACCCGTAAGAGGCATGGAAGATGGAACTAGAACAATCTACCGCGGTGGATGAAATAAATGTTTCAATTCGAAATTCCAGTCACCTGAAGAAGGCTAGAGCGTACAACGACCAAAACGTCCTGAATATGACTACAAAGTTGAGGACAACAGTCCGAACAATGTAAATAATTTAAATAGTTACAATACCTATCTCAGAAATATAGACAGATATTGAAATTTTCGAAATCTAGAAAAAAGATACTGATGTCACAGTCAAAGGAAGTTGTTTTTTTTTAAGTTTTAAAAATTAGAAGTTCTACCAGAATTCATTATTGGCGGCCAGATTTTAACAACATAAGTTATGCAGATTGACAACAGACCCAGAAAAGAAACTGCAAGAACTTCTACAAAAGTTAGTGATGGAAAGCGAGAAGAAAAGACTAAACATCAATTTCAAGAAAATACAATTCACGGTTGTCTGCAAAATGAAGTTGGAGATACCGAAATCAAACAAGTAATTTGATTTAAATATCTGGCAAATTTGTTTTTTTTTTGACAGAGGACAGAATGTGCGAGGACGAAGGGATAGCGAAAGATGCCTTTTAAAAGCTAAGAAAAGTATTAATCAAAAGAATAAATATGTTAGAACCAAAGAAAACAGTACTAAACTGTTATGTAATATCATTACTCTTATATGACAGTGAATACTGGGCAATCCTCACAGATGAAGAAGAGACGTGACGCAATAGAAATATGGTTCTACAGAAGGATGCTGAGAATACTATGGACCGAGCATGTGATCACTGACAAAGTTTTAGAGAAAATGGAAACAAAGACGCATATGCTTAACATCAATAATAGACAGTTGAAGTTTCTAGGGAACATGATGAGGAAAGAGAGCTTGGAAAATTTAATACAGGACAGATTGAAGGCAAGAGAGACAGAGGAAAGAGGGCTTGGAAAATTTGATACTCACAGGACAGATTGAAGGCAAGAGTGACCGCGAAAAACAACGCATGACCTACCGAGCGAGACTGAGTAAATTGGATGGCGGAATGTGGTTTAGGAGAGATAACAAAGAGATAAAATTTATTAAAAGCTACAAAGGGCAGGAAATTATGGAGAGCTATGATCGCCTACGTCCTGAATGAAGGCGGCACACAGAAGAAGAACATTCTAAGATGAAGTATTTTCAATATCCTATTATTTTTTTACAATGTTAAGGAACATAAAAATACTAAACAAAAACGTGTTGACTAAAGAAAACACTTAAATTGAAACAATTTTGAGCCAATTGTCCCTTGACTATTGCAGGCAGTCTAACAAAATCGATTTGATGTAATGGGCAATGTTAGACAAGAAGGAATATTTCCAGTTTAGTTTCCCCATTAAGGGTATTAGCATATCCAACATACTAACACGTTAATACACAGACGGAACAGAATTGTTGAAAGAAAAGAATGATAAACATGCATTAGATTTTTGATACCGATGCACAGATACGTGTTACTAATTTGTCCAACACTGGGAAATTATATCATATGCACACACCAATCAGTGTAAAAGGTGAGAAAAGCGAGCGGGTCTTACTTGTCATATTTCCCAAAGGACCAGTAAAAATTTATGAGACTTTACAACACACACAGTCAGAACAATCAAAGCTAATGGCCTAGACATTGTGATCAGAGACCACAAGAACAGAATGTGCTTTCCTGTTGACATGGCAGTCCCTGCAGACGGTAATGTATCTTTGAAGATCTTCAAAAAGACTATCAAAATACAAGGATCTTGAATTGGAAATCTGAAAAACATGTGGCACATGAAGACATCAATAATTTCAGTAGTAGTTGAAGCCCTCGGATTGATTAGAAAATGTTCTGATAGACTCATTGAATGGATTCCTGATAGACCATACCTTAAAGAAAAACAAAAATAAAAAAAAAAAAACTGCACTCACAAGTACAGCCCACGCATTACGATGAGATTTATCTATGTGAAATGTATGCGGTTTTAGGGATCTCTTGGTGGGTAGTGATTACAAAATTTGATCAGTGGAAAATTTCTTGAAGCCTTTTCTGACCTTTAGTCTCTGGTTGGGACCTGGGAGGAAATCTCTATAGAACATAAATCAAAGGAAATAATAATAATAATAATAATAATAATAATAATAATAATAATAATAATAATAAAGAATGAATTATTCTCCCTTACCTATACCTGAATAAAGTGTCTATCAAATTTAATAGATTCATCAAGATTTAATTCGACCCTGATTCTTAATGACTGCAGAGAAGAAAAGGAATTATTTCAAATCAGTGTTAAAGTCTTTTGGCTTATCAATTGCCATACACAGAAGGATATATGTAAAGTAATGCTATAATATATCTACACAAGAGAGAAAACTCACGAGAATAAGGGAACTTGTCACTCTCTTACATACACACACACACACACACACATATATATATATATATATATATATATATATATATATATATATATGAAGAAGCTTGTACTGAGCGGCAGTCGATTTGGTGCTTGTTTTGCCAAGAGATCTCAAAATATAGATGAAGGGAAGTTATTTACTTTCTTTATGGAATGCTTTTTTAAAGTGTCTAATATCTTATATTTATCTTTCTTTTATTTGGCCAAGATGAACAGTAGTTGATTTTTTAAATTTTTCTTTTCTTTTTCTTCTTTGTTTGAAATGACAAAACGGGGAAGGAATGCGCTACGGGTTTTATACATCATCATTTACCTTCCCTCCTCAATGAGAACATAGAGACACACTACATGCATGTTATATATATATATATATATATATATATATATATATATATGTATGTATGTATGTATGTGTGTGTGTATATATATGTGTGTGTGTATATATATATATATACACACATATATATCAAAAAAAAATATATATATATATATATATATATATATATATACTTGTGTGTGCATATATATACGTATACATGTGTATTTTTATATTGTATGCAGTCTATATATATATATGTGTGTTTGTTATTATATATATATATATATATATATATATATATATATATATATATATATATATATACATATATATATACATATATATATACACACATACATATGCAAAAAAACAATATATATATACTGTGTGTGCATATATATACGTATACATGTATATTTTTTATATCATGCATGCATTCTGTTATTATATATATATATATATATATATATATATATATATATATATATATATATATAGATATATATCTGCACACAAAATTTACATTTTCTAAATATGAACGCTAGGTATATGTTATTTATATATATATATGTATGCATATCTATATGCACACTCACACTCACGCATATATACTTTAATATAGACTATAATCTGTATACATAACATGTTATATTGCATGTAGAGCTTGTATCCATCTCTTTTATATATATATATATATATATATATATATATGCACATATATATTCTGTCTCTTATATATATATATATATATATATATATATATACTAGTATACATATATGAAAAGATGAATATGTAAATAAAAATATATAAATATACATAAGTGAATGTCTATGTATATATAACACGTAAACATGCATATGTATATATATATATATATATATATATATATGTTTATATAGTATATATATATATATATATATGTTCATATAGTTATGTTTGAGAATATATATATATATATATATATATATATATATATATATATATATATATATATATATATATATATATATGCGTTCTCAAACATAACTATATGAACATATGCAATCAAATGTACTTATTCGCATATATATATATATATATAATGCATGTGAAGCTGGGTATGTCCGCATGCATATATGTTTCTTCAAATATTGTTTGTGTTTTTTTTCTTTTTCGTATTCTTCAATCTGATTTGTTTTTTCCACTTCTTTCACATCCTCATTATTCATAATTTTTCATTTTTCCTTCCACGTCAATTTTTCTTCTTTTTTTCTGGATACTAATGTCTCATTGTTTTCTTTCATTTCTTTTCTTTTTCGGTTTTTCTCATTCATATTGTATCTTATTTTTGAATTTCCTCTTTTCCTCAGCTCTTTTTTTTTCTTCTTGACACCTTTACATTCTCGTTTTTTTTGGGGTTTTTTTTTTTTTACTTCCAACTTTCCACGTCTTTTTGCTTCTTCTTCATTCAGTTTACCTTTTCTTTTTTTTAGGCTATTTTCCTTCTTATTTCTTTCTTCAAATGTTAAGTCTTTCCATTCTTCTTCTTCTTCGTTGTTCCGTATTTTCTCTTCAACTTAAATATACGCCTTTTCATTTCTTTTTCCTTTCATCTGAGGCCTTAAAGTTCCTTCCTTCCTTTATTGCTTTTCTTTCTCTGCTGCGTAATATGTCATCTCCGTATAAGCCTTGTGTTTTTGGCTGCCCTGAAAGACTGTTTGTTTGTGCATGACTCAAAGGTTCGCGGCTACCCAATTCCCTCGTCTCTTGTCATTTACCTCGTTCCCAATAGGGTCCCAACCCCCAGAATCCTTCGTTGATCATACCAAGCCTATTTTCTTCCTAACAAGTCAAATTTTCTCTTTTTTCCCCCTTTTCCTCTTTATCTTCCTTTCTTTTCGTTTCGTGTGTGTTGCTTTTCCCGTGGACCACTTCATCTTGGATCAAATCCCGGCTCAACCTTTGGCTCAGTAACCTTTCAAACAAACTGTAAACACCGGGTCTGCTTTTCATGTCAATCATCTCCGGCTCACACGGAACGATCCTACTTGTATTTACTATGTTTTTTTTTCTCCATTTTTCAGTTGTTATTCATGGCTCAAGGGATCAACGTCTGGGATGGAACCCCGCATAATTCTCTGTTCCCCCGACCTAAAAGAAAAAAAATATATTCCTGGATGATTTTTTTTCAGGGGATAAAATGATTCAGTATCTTCGAACCTTTCGGAAAAATGTTTTCCCCTTTACTCATACAGTACAGCTACAGTTGTTTTAACATGAGATATTTGCAGGATATTGATTTGTTTCTTACGGCTTTTGCAAGTTACTTAAAGCGAGAAAATATTTTTAGGCAGTAAGAATTTTTAGAGATAATATAAGATTTTTATGGCAAAAGAAGTCTACCATTACGACGATTCTTGACAACATCCTTCTCCTTCACTTTCCAAAGATTTATTTGATGAATTCTCGGACATTTACAAAGGAGGATGTAAAAGAGCTTTTTTATTTCTTGACTGATTTTTTTTCTATGGCTTGTCAACGCTTTTCAGGCTCTTTAAAAGCAGAAAATAATTTTAGATTGCAAGAATCTCTTTATTTAGATATAACATTGGTTTAGTGCCACAAGTCTTACTAATTAATCAATAGCCAAGGGTATTTGTGCGTAAGTGAATATCACGAACTCAGTTCTCCGATTTCCTACTTCGATCCATTATCCATTAAAACACCCGTTCATCCAAGCATTCAGCACCTGTTATTTCAAAGCGGTGACCCATCTAAGTACTGACCAGGTTCGACGTTGCTTAACGTGTGATCATACAAGAACCGGTGTTTCAACCTGATATGATAGGAAACCCATTTGCAGACAAAAATTGCGGTATCTATCGTAAATTTACTCTAAACGAGACGTAGTGTGTAAGGAAAACTACTTAATAATAATAATAATAATAATAATAATAAAAGCCAACTGCCCAGATATTGTTATTAAAGACCACAAACGAAAAAAAAGTACCTCCTTCTTGATATTGCAGTCCCTGCTGACTGCAATGTATCTTTGAAGATATTCAAAAAGCTGTCAAAGTACAAGGACCTTAAAATAGAAATCTCAAAAATGTGGCATATGGGAACATCAACAACCCCTGTTGTAGTTGGAGCCCTAGGTTTGTTTGGAAAAGATTCCAGTAGACTAAGTGAAGGGATTCCTGGAAGTCCATGCCTCAAAGAGATACAAAAAATTGTTCTGACAAGTACAGCGCACGCTTTACGAAGGGCTTTATCTATGTCATTTTTTTCTGTCAGTGGAAAGTGTCATGCTGCCATTTCTAACCTTAGGTCCCTGGACGGGACCCGGAAAGAAATGTGTAAACGTCAGAAATCGAAGAAAATAATAATAATAATAATACATTTTCATACATGTGTTTGTTTATATACGTATCTATGAACATTAATAGTATGTCCCAGTCCTCATAAATAGTTTGGACACTTTTGTAAGCTGGAGTAATATACTGTCTAAGTAGTCCACTATTAGCAGTGGTTTACCTACTTCACGCCGCTGGCGAGTATTGTATTTTGTTGATGTTATAAGGTTTACCCCATTTCATTTCCAACCTCCATTTTATTTATTCCTCATCAGTAAACTTTTCTAGCTTACAACAAATTGAAAACTTTTGCCTGATTGTTTTAACGTTTATATTAAACATGTCAAATTTAAGTTTTCAGTAGACAACGTAGAAAGAGACAATTTAATAAAACTGCTTTTCCCAAATCAAGTAACTCAACAACTGTTTTCTTTAATGCAATCATCTAAAAAAAAAATTTTTTATGAGCAACTTAGAATTTTTACCAGTAATCAAGTTGCTTAAATGGTTGATTGAATATTTTATGCTTGGGTTTAATAATTAGAATAGAAACATGTTTCAATGTTGTGTCTTGTTAGTCAATTTTTCTCGCCAGAATCTATCTTAGATATTTATAAGTCTACCATTTGTCCTTGCTTTGCTGTTACATCTAGTCTGGTGCTCCTGCTATATATTTAGAGATTCTTGATAAATTCCAAAGAATAATCTATAATGTTGTTGGTCCTGACCTGGCATCTTGGCTTCAGTCACTTTCCGACCGCCATAATTTAGCTTGCCTCTGCCTTTTCTATATATAATTTCATGGTAATTGTTCTGATGAAATTCCACATCCCCGCTTTTGTCCTTGTGCCACATTCTTTTATCTTTACAAAATAAATATTACTTTCCCGTATTGTGCCCAGACTTTACGAATTTCAGCGCAGTACTAAATTGGCGGCAAGGTCTCATCATTTTACAATAAATGCATTTTCTTGTATTTTCGGCTTGTAGAACTCACTTCCGGTTTATTGCTTCTCAGTCAACTTTGACCTTCAAAAGTTTAAATGCAATGTCAATCATTATCTTCTGTCTTCTTAATTCTTATTCTTTTATTCTTTTCTCTCCTTAACAGTATTTTTTTCATATTCTCTAACATTCAGTAACACCATTGCATCTTAGTGGCTTTATTGCCTTGCTTGAAATGAAATTATTGGTAGAATTTTGAATGTGGTATTAATTAACCTATTTAGTAACTCCTTGTTTATTTTTACGTTATTTTCATCCATTTATTTATTTATTTTCTTTTTTTTCGAGTTGCTTAAGCCACACTGACTTCGGTAGTGGGGTTTTTTGGGGTTTTTTTTAAGATCTAGTCACATATGTACAGTTGTTTGTTAATGAGTTGCTTGTAATAAATTCTATACATAAGAACATGTCATTAAGTATGTAACCTAATGATGAAAAACGTATTTATTTTATAAAATAAGTAATGTTCATAATCTTCTGCTTCCTTAATAATGCACTTAATTCACTAGTTAATATTATAAATCAAAATTCAGCTAATTATGTGTCAGGCTGGGAAATTATTAATGTATTTTGTGTAAGCCCCACCCTTGTAACATTTCACGGTGTAATAACGATTTTTACAGTTTGTGTAAAGTGTTTTATGAGAGAGTGGCTTTTTACAAACGCATATTCTCCCATCTTCTTCGTCAAATATTCTGACAGATTAGGAACTTTTTGTCACAATGACTGACGATGGGACAGAGAGTAATCCGTACGAAAGTCATGCATTTTCCAAAAGGAATTACGACTTAATGAGCAAAAGCAGCCGACATTTGAAACTCGAATTAATAGCGGATACTTTTCTCATTCTGATAACGGTTACGCCACGAAGCGACTCATAATTTGCCACGTCCAATATATATAATGACCGACTGTTCGTTTTCAAGTATGCCCGTCTGCTCGACAGTGACTAGCTAATCCCTGTTGCAGACGCCTGCTTAGAACTATTTTTATTCAATACCAACAGAGCCAATCCATGACTTAAACTGCAACCTGTTTTTTTATTGTTCTTTCCGCTCACTAAAGTTTTCTCATTTTCTTTCATTCCTAGTAACCCCCGCTTGCGTTTTAGTGACATTATCGCCTTCCTTGGGATGAAGTGATTTAAAAAGAAAATGGGAGATAACGAAATCTGGTGTGATCAGTCATCACACAGTCATGATTACTTGTGATTTCATTCTAGCTCAACCATCGACGGCTTCTAGTTCCGTCTACTTGATTTTACACACAAAGCCTCAGTCACTTCATGGAATGGTTTTCAGCGGTTACCGACTTCTCCGTAGGCCGGAATCATCTACAGAGGCCGATATTATCAAGGATTAATCTACTTGAAAAATCGAACATGGTTTTATTCGAAACATACACAGGTTCTTTTTCGCTCTCAAATCTACACGTCATATAATTTACTCAGAAGGAGAGAGGGGGAAATGAAGGAGGCCGGAGAATGTATTGGCTGAAACGTGATAGTAGAATGAATACGGCAGTATAGACAGTGAGAATTCATCCGAGAAATTCAGTCGATGAGAAAGTTTGAAGAATATATCGACTGAAATGTACTGGTTATACAAGTAAGGAGAATAATATTACTTCGAATGACTTCGAATAAGTAGTAATGAAAAATAAAACTAATAATTTCAGACAAAGACGTCTTTTGTGTTTCTAACAACTTAAAATTACTATTCTATGTGGTCATTTACGGATCTTAGAAATTTATCAAAAGAGTGAAAAGATAGTGAATGTTAAGACCATTGGCTAAAGACATAAAAAAAATCAAGCGACCCCCTTTAAGTAATCATCACAAAAAGAAACGTGTAAGATGAACGAAGTACTGTAAAAATGCTTTAGTAATCGTATTTTTTACGAACAGATATAGAGTTATATTGGATAGAACTGATAGCTTGTCTAGAGGTTAGGTACTTCATAAAATGGTTAACTAATATGATTTATAAGACATCAGACCTAAATCTATGTGGTAGAGTAATGTAGCATCAATCACCATCTTCTCTCTTCCTGAAATCTTTTTTTATTGTCCTTTCTCTACCACTACGCCCTTGCGCCTTAATGACATTATCGCCTTGCTTGGGGCGAAATGATTAAAAAAGAATAATTAAATGGGAGAGAACGCATAATCTGGCGGGATCACGATGACTTGTGGTTTTGTTCTAACTCAACCATTGACGGCTTCCTCTTCCGTTAACCCGTTGTTACTCACAAGCTTGGGCCAAATCATGGAATGGTTTTCAGCGGTTCTCATAGACCTAGACATGAGCAGTGGACCGAGAAGTCTCTACAACCGTAGATTAAATAAAGGGTTCAGTTCAGAATTCCTTGTAGATTACCCAGACAGTATATATATATATATATATATATATATATATATATATATATATATAGAGGGTAGGACAAAATTAACACCCTTTTTCAAACTGATAGGACGTCGTGGCGCATTTGATCATCAGGTCTCACACCACCAGATTTTTTTCTTGGAGTAGGGGATACTGAAAAATCTTATTTGCAAGCTCAAACCGAAAAGAGTTTCTTAATTAAAACAAACAATTACTCATATATTTTCTG